ACACACACACACACACACACACACACACACACACACACACACACGTCTTCCTATCTTTGTGAGGACCACAGACAGCGCTCAGCCTCACTCTGCACCGTTTTTTTTCTCCAAGTTTGGCGAGAGGTGGATATGGAGGGAGGCAAAAAATAGCTCTGGACTTGATCTGGACTTATTTAAATAAAAATGACTACATGCCATGAAATTCTTAGAGGGGTGGGCCGTCTTGTTGGCGGGGGGCCCGCCCCACCTGTGTAATGGTAGGGGAAACACTGGGAGAACATGTGCTCTGGGTCATGCAGCCACAGACTGTGCACAGAGCAAGGAGTGCTGCTCATCCTTTTAAAACATGTAGTAGCAAACCAATGGAGTGTATTCACCACTTTGGATGCAACTGTTTTCATTGCGACTGCATGTCTGCTTTGAAGCCTGGCAGTTGCCAGATATACAATAAATGCAGATTTTTTTTTTGCCATCTCCTTTTCTGTTTACATGTTCAATCAAAACACACCCCTCGTTATACAGCATCCTGCTCAAAGAAAGTGCGCCCTCACTCTGGACATATGATGGTTTGGGTTAAAATCCTTCATCATTTTCTTATCTGGCAACCCTACTTTTCATAGAAACTGTAGTGAATTCATCAAGCAGAACACTATCGTGTAAACTTGTTTTTTTCATGTTTATTCACCTGAAACAACATAAAAAAAAACCACTCATGTTTCAGAAGACCATTCATGTGCAAACTGGGCCATAAGTCCCCAGCATGCTCCATCCAAACCTGCAAAATCTGCTGTCATTGATGTAGTTGAGTGACGAAATCACTTCATTTTGTTCTCAGCCTCGTGTTGCCCAACCCCCTCTTGAGACATGCCCCTCAGCATAAGAATTTATTATGTGATTGGTCAGAAGTTTGTGGCTGTTTGTTTATGCTGAAAAAAAACTTGGACAGCAATGGTGGCATTACTTCATCCACTCACTTTCAGAATCAACAGCTGTACCCACAACCAGACTTTTATAATAGTCAAATGGCTAAAAACTCATGGATGGAGATAGCTCAGATGTAGTGTATGGAGGAGTCCATCTGCCAAAGAGTTTGGCAGTTTACCCATGGCAGATTTGTGATAGATAAACCTAAATTTACATGTATTCTCCCTCAACTTACAATAGAAAATCTGTCCGAAATATGAACAAGACATCCTTCAAAAGAATGTGTTTTATCCTTGAGATGTAGGTGGATCGCTGAGTCTTGTTCTGAAGAGCTGTCTCTCTTGTGTTGAGCCATGCAACTGTGCAGATGTTTAGTTTCTCCAATATAGAGGTCTGAACATTCCTCACTGCACTGACCTGCAGACACCACACTGCTCAGCGTGTTTCCAAAGAAGTTATGCTTTCAAACACCGGCAGGTGTGGTGTGTGCAGGACAAACTTAGTTCTGATTGATAGCTGAAGGTCAAACCCTGAAGTAGTCTGCTTTCATCCATCAGATTGTAGATGAGCTGCGAGAGCAGATCCTCAAGCTTCGCTTCCCTCATCGAGTTCAAAGCAAAGAAGCAACACCGAAGACCAAGAGGAAGAGCGTCAGTCATGTGTCTCCGTCCAAGTCTCTCTCTGTCACAGCTGCCAAGCCCGCTCTGTCGGACCGACCCTGTGTGGTGGTGCTCAATAAGCCTTTAGAAAAACTGCTCATAAGGTCAGTGCACCTTTCACAATCATTCCTATTTCATCTTGTTAGTTGATTTTGAACCAGTTTATTATCACCATTTTTGATTTCCTTTACCTGATGATGATACTACAGTACAATGTAGAAACACTGCTGTTGTTTTGCAGGTATGATAAGCTGCCTCTGGATTTTAGGACTCCCTTTATTTTCAACATGGAGAACTTCCTGCTGCCTTCCAACAGTGCTGCACCCGTCAGCATGGCAGCTAACCGGACGGCCTCCTCCACCTTGGCCTCACTGTCTCGATGTTTCCTCCACAAGCGGTGGGTGTGGGCTGTGCAGAGCAGTCACGGACCAGCAGTGACCATGCAGGCTGTGGCCCACATCCTGTCCATACTGTCTGAGTGAGTTTCTCACATTGATGACTGCTTTAAATCGATAAAACTACAATCAAATATTAAGCCTGTTTTGTTTTCCACCAGAATTTATTGAAGGAATCTGTTGTGGTTAAACTTGTTATATTGACTCTGCTGTTTTCAGTGACTTTGAGTTGTATTATGTCATTTTTTAAAAACTTCAAATAATATTTCCCTACAGGTAAAATTGTCTTGTGGTACACTCACTAGCTGCTTTATATGGTTCACTTTAAAAGTACCATGTTGGACCACATCTGTCATCAGAACTGCCTTAATGTGGCGTAGCTTGAAAAGGACATTAAAACATTCCTCATAGTCGTAGTTTCTGTGGATTGATGTATGTACAGGTCCTTCTCAAAAAATTAGCATATTGTGATAAAGTTCATTATTTTCTGTAATGTACTGATAAACATTAAACTTTCATATATTTTAGATTCATTGCACACCAACTGAAGTAGTTCAAGCCTTTTATTGTTTTAAAATCGAAGATTTTGGCAAAAAAGTAAAGAAAAAAAAAGAAAAATCCCTATCTCCCAAATTAGCATATTTCATCTGACCAACTAATGAAAAGTGTTTTTAATACAAAAAAACTCAACCTTCAAATAATTGTTCAGTTATTCACTCAATACTTGGTCGGGAATCCTTTTGCAGAAATGACT